TCAGGTCTGAAGTGTTCCCCATTCCACAGCCCCACTCCTCCCAGTTCTCTAAGGCTCAGGTCTGGAATGTTCCCCATTCCACAGCCTCACTCCTCCCAGTTCCCTAAGGCTCAGGTCTGGAGTGCTCCCCATTTCACAGCCCCACTCCTCCCAGTTCCCTAAGGTTCACGTGCACCAACTGTCCAAAACTCTTTTAGAATGATGCATCATGGGATACCTCCCTCTCAGAAGCATCCCTTTCTGCTTCCATGAAAGCTTGCTTGTTGTCTGCCCTGGTATGATTCCCAGCTTCAGCATCTGCTTTCCCCCTAGATTGAGAGCCCCTGAAGCCAGCGAAGTGTCTTATTTAACCCTCTTCTTTCTAGGACACACAATTTTTTATTAGCAGAAGTTCCAGTATTTGCTGGGTACACGGTTATAAGGTCGCGGCGCACCGTTTAAACAGATACGCTGTTGTCACAGATGTGCTCAGTCATGCTCAGAGGAAGGAGACGGACTGCACTGGTGGGGTACGTACAGAGTCAGATACTTTGATGAGCACAAAAGAAAGCCTGCATGTGCCTCCAATATAGTAGCCACTTCAAATTTATATGCCAAAGACCTTTGCCGGAAGGTAATTTTTGCCTGTGTGTAAAGCAAAAGAGACACCAGAGGGCTAGTTCCCCTTCCCACTATGTGAGGACAGAGAATCAGGAGTCAGACCACCAGCACATGGGCTCTGCTGGTGCCTTCGTGCTGGCCTTTCCAGCCTACGGACCTGCAACAGCAAATGTCTGTCGGCCACCAGCTACCTAGTTTATGGTATTTTCTTTGAGCAGACCAAGACAACATTGCTAGATTATCTACACTTACCTTAAAGGAATGCTATTTAAATGTCAAGACATGCATTGGAACCTCTTTTACTCTAAACATAGCTAAATATTAGAAGTTGCCTAATCTCCATAGGGGTGCTTTGTCTTTTCACATTCCATAGTTAACACTATGATTTTAGTAATCAGTGTTTGCTAGTTTTCTAAGAAAACCACAAGTTTTCTTCACTAGCATCAATGGTGTAAAAGTTTGGTTTGCATTGGCGGAATGAGTTGTGTCTGTTGGAACAACCATGGAACTGGACCAGCAGTCTGGTCTCTGTGTGACCAGGGTGTGAAGAACTCATCCCTGGAATGACTCTGAGGTCTCCCACTGGAGAGTTTATCTGCCAGGGAGATTTCTGTCACCTGACCTCTTAACTGTCTCTTGTCACATCTGCTTTAGTTAAAGGGCCAAGAGGTACGACAAAGCAGGCAATCTCAAGTTTTGCTCCTGCCAGCTGGGAAGGATCTCAGTGCCTCAGAACTAGCCCTGACACTTGCACTTTCAATGTGATGGGGTTAGACTATGCACCTTACTTCTAATAGATGAAGGTTTCCAGAAGGCTGGGAACCTAATTCTGTAAGAGAGAATGATCACTGGTGTAAGCTAATGGGAAAGAGTAGTGTTTGAGTTCATTGTCGCAGTGACTACAGAAAGCAAAACTGTGTGGGAGACCCAGATGAGATCAGAACCAACAAGATTTGGAGGCTGGTTAAGTGTGGCAGCAAGCTAAAGGGGACACTAAGGAGTCCATATGGGAGTGGGGTAGGGGGATGTGCACCTGCAATGCCAGCGCAGAAGAGCTTGGGAGGGGAGAATCAGAAGTTCTAGGTCAACGCAAGTCACATAGCAAGACCATGTAGCAAAAATGAACATCCAGAACAAAACAAGGAGAGAGTGAGGCGAAAAGAAAGAAAGCAATTAAGCATGTCAAGGGTAGCAAGTTCACAAAGCATGTCCATGTAGTTTGTCTGGTCATCACAATGGTTTAGATGGACAGATGGGGCAGTCACTAGGAACACAAAGCAATCAAAACTGTACCCATGGCGTGCTTGAATTTTCTTGGCCAATAAATCATGCTGTTGCCATTCAAATGCAGTATTTCTTGCCCCAAGTTAGTCTCTTTTCATTTTACCTCCTGCTCTTAAAGATGTAAAGTTTGCTTGAGAAGAAACGGAGAGAGGTGGCAAAAAAGTCAGGAAGGCTGAAGTGATCCGAAGGAGGAATGCAGGTGGGAAGCAGGCTGTAACAGATGGAGGAAGGAGGAGTCCATGAACGAGGAGGCCTTCTGCTGCTGTGGGTGCTGACAGGACTCCCCACAGGAAGAGCATGACGTCTTTGCCACTGGCACCTCCACCTCCTCCCTAAATGTGAAGACCGTTCTGCCTGGGAACCCACAGTCTCTTCAGCTCACTGTCCAGATCACAGACATTCTCATCCCAGTCCTCCAGGACTAGCAAACAAAAAAATGGTACATGCCTTCAAACTAAGCCTACTGTCTCCCATATGACAGAGGAAAGCAGGAGAACAGAGCAGCACAGCGCCTGTCATGGCTAGCACTTGGTGGCTACCAAGAATGTGTGAGAGAGAACCCTTGATGGTCATTTGGAGCTTATTGGGCACAGCCTTCCATCTCAGCATCTTCCTATCACTTCACAAAACAAGTCATTAAGTAAGATAGATGGGACACCTTGTGCTCTCAATTGTTGAGGAATGACAGCTGACACAAAACCCAGACTTTGGCTTCTCCTGTGTGGTCACTTTTATTCTAACCAATCATTTCCAATACTGCAGGAGCCTTTTAAGAACATACATCCCCGAGCCTGTCTTCTCCTGGGTCTGATTTTGCAGCTATAAAAAAGAGAGACTGAGTATATGGTTAGGAAAACTTTGTTCTTTTGTCCTAGGGAAGGTTACAGGCTGAAATGAACACAGACTTCCCTGTGCAGCAGCCAACATCCAATGCTCTTGGGTCTTGGTTGGAGAGACCCATTGAATGGAGATATGCAAGCATCTCATTTGGTTGGAGATACCCAT